GGGAGGCCACCGAAGACTCCGGGGGCAACGACGGTTTCCTTGTGTTGGAAGGCGGTGGTCGTTCGCCGAGCGGCGCCGTCGGCGGCGGCGACGATAGCAGCGCCGCCGCCGCTGCTGCCGTCGTCGAGCAGGGCGAGGACATCGACGTCCGCGACAACGGCGGCGGCGGCGGCGGTGGCCTTTGGCCGGCTACGACGGGCCGGGGCGAGGGGATCCCGGAAGCGGAGGGCGGCTGGGGCCACGTCGACACCAACGGGCTTCTCCATGAAGACGACGACGAGGAGTTCGAGAAGAAGGGGAGGGGTGCTCCAGAAGGAGGCATTTCTTCGCGGAGCGGCGGCGGCGGCGGTGGCGGCGAAGGGATCGTCAACGGCGACCTAGGCCTGGGCATGGCCCCGTTGTCGGTGTCGCCGCTGAAGGGCGGAGGGAGGCACAGAGACGCCGGGGATGCCGACGGGCTCCCGGTTCTGATTGACCTCGAGGAGGAGGGGGCGGAGGAGGTTAGCGGCGGTGACGATGAGCTCCCCGGAGCGCGGAAGCTTTACCTGGCCGGCGGGAGGGGAGATCACTACGCCGCTGCTGCTGCTTCCACCGCCGGTGGTAAGGGGGTGGTCGATGAGACAGGTGAGGGACGAGGCCGGGGAGACCTCTCCGCGGGTGGCGGTAGCTTTTTGTATGGATGATGTTGTCATGGATGACACTGCTGCTGGGTCCTGTGTTGTTTCCTTCTTCTTCTTTTTTTTTTAGTGTGTTGCGTTGGCGTGTGACCACGGAACGTCTTCCGCGTCAGTTGGACCGGTACGGATGTTTGAAGGTACTGAGCAGAGACCGGAAGGGTGTTTATTGTAAAGACAACATCAACATCAACAACAACGACAACGACAACAACGACAATGACAATGACAATGGCAACGACAACAGCAACGACAATAGCCACAACAACAACGATAGCAACAACATGTGCTCGCTGCCGCTACTACTACAACAACAACAAGAACGACAACAGCAACTTCTACTGCGACTGCTGTTGCAGCTGCTACTGCTACAGGTGACGACGACGGCGACGACGACGGAGACGACGGAGATTCCTTCGGAGGTCAGGACGACGCCACGTTCGGGCAGTCCTGGGACGACCTCGTGGAGGGAGTGGCGGACGAGGGCGTTCTTCACGGCCACGGGAGGGCCGGACTGCCCGACCCCCTTGAGACCGACGCCTTGCTCGAGGAAGGGCGAAGCGATCCCGCCGCTCCTCCTCCTCCTGACGGTTCGGGTGGTGTTGGTGGTGCAGACGTCATGGCCTCTGACGGCCGTTTCGAAAGGGCCGGCGAGGAACAAGAAGGTGTGTGTGGGACTCGGTCGCCTTCGCTAGGACATCAGTTTTTGGTTTTTGTAGGGGTTAGGGGTTTAGGGATGGGATACGGAACCCCCCTCGCTGTTTCATGCTTATTGAATCCTTGCAAAGGCCGTCCGTGTTGCTGCTGCCTGGGCGGGCGTTGGTCATGGATTGGAGTGTTTGGCCTTCTTGTTGTTGCCCTCCAACCCTCTGTCTCGGGAGGTGGACTATGCAGCGTGCGTTGTGGGGGCAGTCGCGCGTTTACCTCTTGTCGGTGGTGTGTGTCGACAGCGCTAACACAGTTCTGGCAGGAAGAGATCTTAACGAAGTGTTTCGTGCGTGAACATCTCTCTCCTTTCTTAGCTCTATTTTTCTTGGAGGTTTCAACTCACTGTTTTATGCTGGCATGTTTTTGGTTGCGTCCGCAGTGGAGGAAGGCTTCGCAAGCATGACCCCCGTCTGGTCAAATCTAATACAACGCCGGAAAGGTGTGGCAAAACCCACGCGCCCGGAGTAGAACCCAACATGAAAACCACTTCATTTTGCCGATTCGCGATGTACGCTCTGTTTGTACGCTTCGTGACTAAACTGGCGTGCGCCCCCCCACGGTCTCCCCATCTGCGACACCCCTCTACTCCCAGGGGGCTTTCCACCGCAAGAGCAAGAGCAACCAGTACCGGGCGCATCATCCTCAGGCTTGGGCCCGACGCTTGTAGGCGCGATGGCCGAAGCCATCGGGGCCCGGCGGGGGGCTTCGCTTGAGCTCCTGGGCCACTTCCTTCGCGCTGGGGGAGGGGACGTGGAGAAGGCCGCGTCGCTGTATGCGACCATGGCTGACGAGTTTGTCGAGCTGAGAGAGATGGCCAGGTGCGGTGACAAGTCGGACAACTAGAGTCTGTAATCATGTTATTCGCCTTCCTTTGTATTGCCCTTTTTTTAGGTGCATTTGAGGAAATACGTATTATGATGTGTGGAGTTTTTACGGCACGATAACTTTCCCATGTGTGCCATGTCACTTTTGGGTTACTTCACACCGCAATCGACGACGCAACAAGTTGGTTGTTTTTTCTTCACCCAAAGTGTGTGTCTCGCCGTACAGTAGGTATCCATTGCAGCAGGTTTGCGACAACGTATGTATGATGTAGCAGACGGAGGTCTCAGCACGTTCGGGAAGAGAAGGAGGTCGGTGTCCTGATTATTTTTTTGCTGGCGATTTTATGTGGCGCATTTTGAAGAAGGATGGTGGCAAGAGGCGAACACACCTTTACTGTCGACTATCGGTTACTTTTATTCGCAAAGAGACACTAGTCTGTACTTATCGTTGCCCCCCCCCCCCCCC